ATAAGCCACCAGATTATGCGAGTAAGCAACAGTTTATAAAGAAAACGCAAGAATAAGGGAAATTCCATGAAAGACTTAAGGCTTAAGGTTGCCTAGAAAAAATGGAGCAATGTAAATGCAATTAAAGCAGAGAAATAAGCAATCTTTTTTTCAATAAAAGTGGAAAGTTAAACGTGTCTCAGTGAAAGAAGAGAAGTCTTTGATGGTTATACTGCCAAAATGATAAAGAGGAACAGAAGAGTTAGGAACTGTTTTTCCTTTTTTTTTGTCTACAATGAATTAATTTCAAATTCATTTCTCTACTCAATTGAGTTGGCAAATTTAATTCCCTTTGGAAAATGCAATTTTATTACAAAATAGTCTTAGGGATTGCACCTGCAATTTCGCTCAGAGCCAAACAGATAAATGTCTGCAAGGAAAAGTGAGAGAGAGGGAGAGAGAGAGAAACAGAGACACACAATGAGGATTGCTCAAGTGAAATGTGCTAAAGCTTCATCTTGCTCTGGTGGAGAACACTCCTGCTCCTGCTGCTGAAAGTGGATACCCCTCTTCATGCGCTAAATCCTTAAGATGATACGGATACGAATGCCAGCACTAAATAATTGCCTTTTCAATGGTCCAGCAGCTAGCCTTGGATAGCTCTCTTACTACTCGTACTCGTCCCTAAGTACCACAGGCAACTGGTAGACAATTTCGAATGGCCATAAATCTCGGTGGCTGCCAGAGCGAATGTGTGTCAGCTTAGCGTTCGTTTAAAAGCACAGACAGACATGCCAAAATGGCCAATTTCATGGCTAGTGTAAATCAAAAACACCTGCAATTAGGGGGCACCATCCATCCATACCCTCACACCGCCTCACACACCCCCGATGGGCAATTGCAGGATCACCGCCCATAAGCGGACAAAGCTATTTAGACGAGGGACAAGCACACAAAAACAATTTCGGGCCAATTGCCTGCCATGCAACTCATTAACATGCGGCACAAGGCTCTGGAGCCTACATCCTGGGACCTCTATTGTGGCATAGGACTCGTACACTGCAACAAAAATAAGACTATGACTAACAAAATTTTGCTAAGAAGAAAAAAATTAAAATCGAATCAAAAACTCGAGGAAACTTAAACATTTAATAGAAAATTATTGTATGGAGAAAATTCTTCATAAAAAACTTAACAAATAAAATATGATTAATTTTTTTTTGTAATATTTTACTTTTAACAAATTGTTTTGTTTAATTCTCATTTTAATTTTTTTTTAAATGTTTTATATAAAGAGAAATTTTTAAAAGTAAATTTTAAAACTTTATAGAGTGCATCTATTTTTTTGTATGGCCAGATTTCTCACAGTGTAATCTTAAGCCATTGTCTGGACAGTTTTTGGTTGTTGCTCTTTTTGCTGCTGCTGTTTTGGGGGCAATTTTTGATGTTAGAGAAGCTAATTTTTGTGGGGGCGCACATGTGCAAGAGGGTCCGGCAAACACCCACACGGGACTAGCAGTGGCAAGGTCCTGCACACCCACAAAGGATGGGGGGCAGCAGCAGCAGCAGGAGGCAAAGCGATAGAGAAGAACACCTCCCTGTTTGTATCTGTAACTGTATCTAGGCGGCCATTAAGTGCAGCCCATGGAAAACACGCTTCGAGCATGCTAAAAGGGGTCGGATAACAGGTCTCTCCTCTACACCTAGCTGCTGTTTCTGCTGCTGCTGGCCTGCCCGAAAGGACCTGCCATAAAGCACACAATTTTTGAAAGTGCCCCAGCAAATGCCTAAAAGTTACAAATGTTTGGCCTTAAAAACTTGCACGGCCACACAGATAAAATGGCAAAAAGAGTGCACACTGGAGGGTCCTTTCCCAGGACCCTCTTTGCTGAACGCTGAAGGTGCCGGCCCCGGTGTTGGTGCTCATACCGGTGCCTGATGCCTGCCGCCTCTTGGCACCCAAAATGAAATTTGAAGCAAAGTTGCGGAAGAAATTGTCTACGCTTTAAGGCGTCTCAAAGGCCAAAGGGAATTATGAGAGAAATTACGGCTGAGAGATGAGCAAATGAAATTAGCTTGTGATTTCTTGAGTGAAAGTCATCCAAAATGTGCTCCAAGGGTGTGTAATTTGACATAGAATAAGAGGCCTCTCGTTCAAACTTGTTGATGGAATAATGAACATTAGGACTTTCTGCAAAGGATGCTCAATATTACAGGAAAATGCATGCAAACATACGCCAGGAGTTCTAACCATAATTCAATGAATTGTTCAGTGCTGAAATATTCTTGTAAGTCCTGAGGCAATGCAATGATATGCTTCATAGCAAATAGACATTTGCATTGAAATGCAATCCCATGAATTTCAAAACAAAACAATGCAACATCTGTCATTCTGTTGATAGCACTCCATAAATGCATTGATACGCAACATGAACCCATTCCAAGCATCATTTTTGACTCAAATTGGAAAACAATAGATGTATTGTCCTACAGAGCTAGCATGTGGCCCTAGGCCCAAGTTATTGTTGGAATGATGCATGAAACAAGATTAAGTCGGTATTTCAGGTACTCCAAAATCATAATCCTTTCATGTGGAAATGTTTCTCTTTCCGTTGCAATCTGGGCATCCATTTCTGGAATTTTTTTCAGGGAGTGGAGTTCACTTTCTCCCTAATTTTCACCCCTCTAAGGGACAAATGAAACGAAACAAAAAGCAATGCCATTGTTCGTCAATGTGTCCGGATTGTCCATCCGTCTGTCTGTCTTGCTGTCTTGCTGTCCGTTCTGTTCTGTTCTGTCCGTTGTTGCAGAATGCTGTTTGGGGCTGCCATTTAATTCAATGACGGACACAACAAAGCATTTGCCACTGGGATGCAGTTAACAGTGAGAGAGAGAGAAGTGCTACAAATATGTGCTGCTGCTGCAGGCAAAGCTTGCCTGCCTGCCACATTCCACCAGCAACCACCCTTGCAACGTCATACAAAACAATTTCCCCTGGAGAGTTTTTCCCTGTTTTTCCACCAGTTATTTCGTATGTGAAAAAGCGCATCTGTTGTTGATTGTGTGAACTTCCTTTCAATCGTTTGTTTGTCCCTCGTTCAGTCCCCCCCTTCCCATTCATTCCAGATCCTTTTTTTGTTGCTGTTGTTGCGTTGTTTGGTTGTTGCTGGTGTTGTTATTTTTGTAGTGCTTTTGTTGTTTGTTGTTTGCGTGGTGTTATTGCTGTTATCCGCCGCTTCAGGCGAAGTGCCAGTGCCGGCCTGCCTGCCCCGAAGCTTAGATACGTTTTTTCGGTTGCAAGTATCTCTCACCTTCTCAAAATGTTGGATACTGAAAGTTTTCCATGACTTTGGAGTCAGTAAAAGCAATAAAAAAAATACAGGAAAATATAAAGGAAAACTATACAGAAAAATATACAGATAAAACATGCGAGAAGAAAGTGTATTGGCTAAAAGTCTAACCAAATATCTTTTCAATCAATCTCAGCTTTATTTGTTCTTTATTTTTTTCTCTTAAAATAATCTTTAAAAATGTTCTCAAATTTTCATATGAAAATCAAGGGTATCAAGTCACTCCATCAGCTATTATTTTCTCTGTTCAAGTACCTTCCCAAAATCAGATATAAAAGGCTATACTGTACGCTAGTCGCTGCTGACTTTACTTATTTTTTTATTATTGATTTTCTCATATATTTTTCTACACAGTTGCAGCTTTTGTTGAAAGAACTTTATAGAAAATCACTGACACATAAAATAAAACCTGTTCCAAGCCATTAAAGTTATTAGAAATATGTGTATTAGAAAAGATCAGCATCGAAGCCAGCTTTTTTTAAAATTAAATTTCACGATTGATTCCAGATATATTTTTCTATCATTTAATAGGAAAATCTTTAATCAAAAGAGAATTCCAGCTCTAGATGTGCTTTTAGAAGCATATATAAAATTCGTTTTTGTACGTTTTCTTCTAACTTGTGCTCTTCTTGTCCGTTCTCCATTTTCGCCACATGTGTGTTACTGAATGGCTTGGACATTTCGTTTATAATCCTTGCGCGCTGCTGCATCTTTTCGGAAAACAATTGCATCTTTTGTGCAAATAAGTTTTATAGAATGACACGCAAAAAAGAAAAATACTAAAACCCCATTGCTGGACATTCCCCTCAAGAGTTTAAAGTGAGGGTTGGTGGGGGGGTTGGAAGCAGTGCATCAGGCGGTTCCATTTGCTCCTAGTGTCTAGTGTCCAGTGTCCTGTGTGCATTGTGCAATTTATTTATTGCACACAAAACTTTCCCTGAAGAGGCTGACACAAGGACACAAGAACGAACTTCTGTTGAAAATGAGATAGTGGCACTCTATAGTCCATTGTCTTGCAATGCAATGAAGGGAGTAATGTCCGTGTATGCCCCAAGGGACTGGCCAGGCAGTAATAAGTAGCCAACTCATGAGAGATTTACTCTCCCAATCGCCCACTCCCACTCCCTCACTGTGCATCATTTATTACAATTTAGAGTCCCTTTTCCCAGGACCCTCCGGAGAACACAATAAAACAAAATCGGTTATCTTTTAAGCAGTCTTCCCGGTATAAATAACAATTTAAAGTATTTACTTTAAGCAAAAATCTCCCTTTCATTGACGTCAATGCCAGAGTGCCGCCTCTGGCAAACGCATCTGACGTGACAGGCGTCGCTAATCCGCGGCACTTAGCAAACAAATTGCCCCACATAAACAATTCTAATTGAGATGAACGATATGGCTATAGCCTCCATGTATGTACATACGTACATGCATATATACATATGTATGTAAATATGCAAAGCAGTAGTAGCATGCCACATGACACTCCACACACACACACACACACACACCATAGAACTATGTTAAATGCAACTAAGTTATAAATGTGGGCGGAGAAAGTGGTGTGGCCGAATGCCTGGGCCTGCTGCCTGAAGGCCATTCAGCAATGGCTGCTGCCTGGCCTGGGTTATGGCTTTGGTTTGGCGTGGGATATACATAAATTTCACTTACTTCTTTAGCGTGGCAGCCAATGCCAAATCGGGGCGTACATCAAAGCGACTCTGCATATAGAAGCGTAATAAATTATCGCGTTCATTTTCACGTAATCCTTCCTCGAGTGCTAATGCGGCCAGTGTGTGATAGGATTCTGACTCCGTGATGCCGAATAATAAATCATAACTAGAATGAGAGAGGCAAAGAGGGAGAGAGAGAGAGAGAGAGTTGAGGTTTATGCGTAGAGAGAGAGGGAGTTCGAGTAAAGCAGAGGTTTAGTCCAGAGCCACAGTCAAAAAGGATGGTCAAACATGGCTGATATTTTTTTTTACATTCCTTTTATGCACTGGCGAAAATGTCCCACCAATCTCTACCTTAATCCCTGCCATATCTATGCACCAAAATTTCTTTCAGTGCACACTCTGCACAGCCATCGAAAGAACAACCCAATGAATGCCCATAAAACGCAGAGAGCACTAAAAATAAAACGAGTGCCGATGCCTCGTCCTGTGGCGCGTAACTTGTTACGCCGCTGCCGCCTGATAAATGGTTCTACAACTATGAAAAGTGCTGCTGCCACTTCCCGAGAGCCCTGCCTTAACCATTGTTGTCCTGTTGCTTCACAGCAGATATCAGCGAGAGCGTGAGAGAGGGAGAGAGAGAGGTAGGGTGAGAGACAGCTCAGAGGCGCATTAAAACTTATATTCTAGAAGGAAAAACTTTGCTGCCGTCGATAAAAGTAAATGCAAAACTTGTTAAATTGAAAAGAAATGCCACAGCGAAAAAGCAAGACAGAGAGTGGAGTGAAGGGCTCTCCCATTCATTACTATAAGAGCTTTAATCCTCAAGTCATCCGCTGATTAAAGTGATTAACGGAAGCAACAGCAACAACAAAACCCAACATTCAATCGTGTGAAACGTGCTTTCGTTTTACTTTTTGCACCGTAAACCCGTACACCCGTACACTCGTCTGTCCTTCCACCATGTCTGCCTGTCTGTCTGCCCGTAATTAATGGCTCTCTTCCTGTGGCAGCTATTATTCTATTCTCAGAACGAAGCACGTTTGACTCTTCTCGCGCCAAAAAGGATAACAATTAAAATCAAATTAATCACGCATTTTATTAGATTATCCCTTGGGGCTTATGTCTACCCTGTGCCTGTACCTCTGTAGCACGTGCCTCTTACTGCTAATGCCTGGCCTCGCGAGTGCTTTTCTCCGAAAGACAGAAGTTGATTGATGGATGGCCCATAATTTATGTGGCAGAGGGTGCCCCGTTACCTTTTTGATCGATATATTCTCTCAATTATTTGTTTTCTTTTTTTTACCTACGATGCGGTATGTCCTTATATCCTTATTGATTTTGTAACGCTCAAGGCTCAATTGCAGGACCTTTTTGGAGCAGCAAAGGACCCATTGAGTGCCCCCCACACCCCTTAAGTGACATTCGAAATGTAATTTGCTTGATGATAGCCCTAAAACGCCAACGCAGAAATAGCCGTGTTAAATGGTCTTGCGTCTCACGGATTCCTTACAGACGATTTCACTCTCACCTGAGGGCAAAAGAAAGCCTTTCCAACCACAGCCCACCCTCCACACAACGAAATAGCGAAGGAAAGAAAGAAATACCAGACGTCTAATCAAGTAACGCAGAATAAATTCTCCGGCAAAGAGAAAGAGAGAGACAAGAAAAGCAAAAGGAATGTTTGACAGCTCCCCGAAGCAGCAAAACGCTAAGGAATTGTGGCATTGTGGCATAGGGGGTCAGTGGCTATAGAGGGTAATGGTACTGGTACTGGTAGGGTGAGGGAGGGTAGGTAGGGTAAGGGAATTGCTTAACAAACCGGCTGAAATGCTCCGTATAATGCCCCATGACCTTGTACGGTTGATTTGGTATTACATGTCCATCGACAATTGGACCCAATGATGTTGAAAATTGTTGAAGCGATGTTGGTATGTGCAAGATATCCTGATACCTAGAAAGAGAGAGAGAGAGCAGAACGAAGAGAAGTATGAGAGAGTGAGAAAACAAAATGCGTTAAAAATAAAAAAAAGGTTCAAAATACAATATGGCAGAAGACTGCCAGGGAACGGCTATTGTGGCGCCTCAGCTGTACATCATGACAGCGGACCCACTTTTCACTTTGATTTGAGAAAATTTCTAATAAATTTTATGTTTGATTTGTTGGCTGGACATTGGACACTCGCCACACTGGCCGGCACGTACAGATATTTTCCACACACACGTGTGGCACATAAAGATACTCCAAATACGATGCCCATATGGTCTTTAGGGGCACCGAAAAAAAATTAACACAATTTCATGGAGTAAATGGAAAAAAAAATCTCAAGATTCGAGAGAGGGTGGAAGTGTGAAAAGTATTAAAGAGCATGGGTTTTTCTTTCTGAAAAAAAGCTCTTGAATGAACTCAATTGGATGTACACATTTTTTGGACAATTGTAAACATAATTTCTAAATTTAATTCTAGCGAAATGCAAAGAATATTTTAATCAAAAATTCTTTGAAAATTCAAAACCGTATTCAAAACTAAAATTAAATAGTACCAATAAAAACCATAATTTCTCTCATCAAATATTTAATGCAAAAGCCTCAAAACTACAAAATATATCTTCCGAAATTCTGCAATATTCAGCTCAAAATAGGTACCGTACAATGCCAACCAAACACATCCGTTTGCCTCCTTATCGACAGGCACTTGCACCTCTGTACATCCCGAAGTTATCAGAATTTTGTTTGTTGATATAAAAACCCATAATAGAGCCGCAATGCAAACCAATTCACACGCACACAGATTTATATGCACACAAGCACAAATAAAAGCGGCAAACCCTACCCCATTCCATTTTACCGATACAAAAAAGTGCTACATATATGAAATACAATCAGCAGACTTATATATATAGAAAACTTTTGCTTCTGTTGGATGTTGCCTGTGTGGGAAAGCATTTCAATTCAATGGGAAATATTTGAGCTCTCGCTTTTGCTCCTGCTTTTGCTCCTGCTTTTGCTCTCTTTTTTTGCATACTTTGGGGCGGGGTAGTGGCCTTTATATTGATACAAAATTGCTGTGTGGCAGTGGCATGGAAAAGGTTCTGTTGGGTGCAATTTCAGTTGCATAGTTTGCATAAAAATCCACATGGCACAAGGCAACAGCAGCAGCAGCAACTGAAGTACCCACCAGAAATTGGCACAAATTAAGAAAAGGAAAAGGAGCAAAAATCTAGAAAATATTGGGCAATTTTTATCATGGAAATGCAGGCAAAACCTGAATACAGCAAGAGCAGAGCATGCTCACATGTAGGAAGGAGTCCATGCAGCAGCTGTTGTGCGGAAGAGGTGGAACATTCATTTAGGGAACATTCCTTCTTGGTATGTTTGGGTGTTCCCTCTGTTTTGGCATTGTTATAACCGATTTGTTGGGGGTTTCCCCACCATTAAATGAGAGGATTGTTTGGGTATTAATCCAAATCCATCCATTACGCTTTCAATGGATATTCGGATGTTGTCAAAGCAGCTCATTGTCTTTGTGTCTCTGGTGGAAATTCAATTGAAAACCATAGAGAGAGAAAAGGAGATGCCAAGGATGCCATTCAGGAGAAGCCATACGAATGTTAAGCCATGGAAAAATCCCTAAAATTCAATGAGTGTATGTCGTGTGTCTGTCTGTCTGTGTATGTGTGTGCAGTATTAATTCACTCAACACCTTCAGAAAATCCCCCATTTCAAGATGATATTATCGGTAATCCATTTAAGGATGCAGCAATCCAATCGATGCCATCTGCAAGGCCATTGCACTTTAAGCGCACATATCCCCATGGCTTTTAGTGTGTGGTCAAAACGGGCGGGGGGTGTGTCAAGTTTATGGCCACTCCACACAGACTCAGACTTTTGCTGGTTGCTGGATTTTGCCTCAGACTTTCGCAAAGAAAAAACACTTGCTGCTGGAAAAGTCGTGTGTCATGTGTGTGTGTTCGTGCTTCATTTTCACATGTGATTTATGATGGTATTTCTTATATGAAAGAAGACTTTATTCCACTGTTGCTTCTTGTTGTTTCTTGTTTCTTATTAGCTGCCGCACAAAACTGTCACAAGTTGAGCTGCAAACTGCGATTAACTCGTTTAGATTTACAATATGTTGCAATATATATTCTCTTCCTCTTCTCCCCCTCTTTCTATCAGTGTTGTGGCAGCAGCATAGACTGCCGCACTCGCTGCCCCCACTAAGACACATTGCACATACAATTTGTCAGCGTGTGTGTGTGTGTGCTTGTGGCAGAAGAACGAAGATTGATGGTATTCCTTATGGCTTGCATGTAGCAAGCAGCTACTTGAACTACTGCTCTAGAGAGAGTCTAGTGCCCCAGAGAACTCCTCTGTCATTTATCCTGCCACAGTTTTAGCCTTGTCTCTGCCTCTATCGGTTTCTATCGTCTCCACAGCTGCCTCAAGTTCTGCTTTTCAGTTCTAAGCCTGTCTGTCTGTAGTCCTTCTGCTGATATCTCTTTGTTGTCCTTATGCTTTCTATTTAATGAATTTTTAATATGCTTTAGACCTTCCTTTTTATTTGTGTCAATTAGAAGCACAAATGGAAAACAGCTGCATTCTGTGTTTACTGCTGAGGCTGTGTGGATGGCGGCGCATCGTGGCGTATGCTTGATATTTACATTTGTCTCTAGCGGACATTTCTCTCTCGCTCTTCCACTATGGTGGATTTTTTTAGGATTAAATGCACACAAAGCGAATGAAAATGAAAAATTTGTAAGCTCTCTTCGCTGCTCGATTTGTTTTCCCAGAGTTTTCCCCCCTTTTGGTTACATTTTAAAAGCAGCTTAGCGATAAAATATTTTTGTGTATAACAATTGGATTTAAATGCAGTTTAGAACAGAATAGTTGCACCAGGAATTATGCTTTATAATCAGTTTAAATAAATATTTATACACAAAGCAAAACAATCTGCGCAAAACAAAGGAAAGGAAAACATAGAAAATTGAAGACGGCGAGGAAAATGCTCACTTTGCAGGTGGGCAAAAATGGACAATCGATTGGCCGGATGTTCGCCTGCAAGCAAATATATACAGAGATCAAGAGTCATGTTTGCAGGGCAAACACATTAGGCGGCAATGTTTAAATAATTTGAATAAATTAAGGAAAAAGAGCAAAGCGCAAAAGGGCCAAGGGCAAAGGGATATCAATGCGAAACAAGAGAGAAAACTTCTATTAAATATTTAAATTCTTCTTTAAGACAAAGCCTCAAGTCCGTAGTAGTGAAAGGGGAGAGGGTAAGTTTCTAAGGGGAGGGGATTGTGTGTGTGGCTCAGGCAAACAAATGTGCTACTGTGGCTACTGTGCCTTTACTGAGTCCGTTGTTTGCTCAAGTAGTTCTGTTACCTGTTTGTGTTTCTTTGTCAGTGTGTGTGCGTGTAAGTTTGTGTGTGTGTGTGTGTGTGTGTGGTGTGTGGTGTGGTGGTGCCTTTGTAGGCAAAAGCGATGAGCACATTTGCTCAGTAATTCATACATAATTCATTGCATTCATTTAACACTCGCACTTGCTCGTACGAACACACATACTCGTACACACCAGTCCACACCCCTTCCCAAACACAAACACTCACTCATTCACTCACTCATACACTCGTTCATTTCTTTATTACCTCACTCTTTCACTCCTTCTTTCATTCATTCACCATTCATTCTCCTACTCTTTCACTCCTTCCTTCAATCCCTTAGTGCTTCCCTACGCCTTCCCCTACCCACACATTTACCCTTCCTTTACCTTCCCTCATTCCCCCACCCACATCCTTCATTCCTTTACTCCGTCTATGCCCTTCATTCCCTTCGTTCCATTCCTTCAGTAAGCTGCCACACGAGGTTGCAATTCTCAGGCTCAAAACCAAAGCTTTAGCTCCTTCATTAAAACATTCCGAAAATGCACTTCCAAGCGAAAGGGTTCCCACACTTTTGAGAGATGTTTACTCGTGAGGAAAGGCTTACACTCATACAGCTCCTGACTTGTAGAAACAACAATTTCTAATTAAATAGTTGTATTATGTTTGTTGTATTTTAATGTATTTAATTAACAAACTTAAATATCCCCAAAAAAATTCCCTTTTTAAGATATTTTTCTAAAAAAATTCTCCAAGATTTTATATGAAAATTTTGTATTATTAAATCCCGAAAAATTCTAAACAATTCTACACATCTTTTACATCTAATTTGATTTGACTTCAAAGCCATTAGCACTAAACGACAGCACAGATTCCCATTATCTGTGCTTTTATATGTATATTAGTTTCGACACGATTGCCTTTGCGCTCGGTACAATTATTCAAGGCTTAACATCGAAATTCTCTACAACATCGGCCTCTACTTATGTAAATAGTTCTTTAGGTGTCTTAAATCTCCTCTTTACAGTGAACTGAACACACTTCTCAAACTTGTACAGCTCGTCTTACATTTCTAGCTCTTTAAGTTCCCAATTATTTGTAGATTTCCCTTTCAGTCTGTTCCGTTTAGAGTACATTACGTTTCCCTTTGCTCTAATTACCATTTTCCTCATTACTTTGACGTCATTTCCTTCTCTGAATTTTCTAGTTTTCTGGCGAATCTTCAAGTTGCCACTGTGCCAATTTGTACGTAGTAGGAAACTAAAGGAAAAGCAAGTAGGGAAAGTTTCTCAAGTACCCAAAGATACACATGCACATGTTGCATAATCGTGTGAAAATATATACTTATGTGTGTGTGTGTGTGTGTTTTGTCTGTCTGTATGCCTAGCATAATTAACATAATTACCATTATTGTGACGTTTGTTGATTTAGCTTTACATACATTTTTAGTTTTTATGCGCTTTTTTTTCATTTTGTATGCAAATCGTTTTTCAGTTTTCTTCTCTTCTGTGCGCCATCTTATTCTCCCTCCTCTACTGTACAATTCAATGCATATAAATTAAGTGTTCCACCCCTCAGATACGCCCCCACACACATGGAAGAAACACACTTACATACACATGCAAACATGCTTTCACACATAGAAAAATATGCATTAAATGCGGCTAAATATACGAGTAGTTGCGGTACGCGAACCTCAACATTAAAATACCCTTTACTGTGTTCCCTAACAGTATGCCCAGGTGTTCAAAGTGCCAAAATGACAGCACAAAACTGCAACTTGCTTCGCTAATTCTGGCTATACTTAACATCCAATCATATAGTGCATCTGCCAGGCATCCTTCTGCCTGTTACACACATCTACACAAATTGTGTTTACTCTTAAAGTACTGTGTAAACAAAAAAATATTCGTTAAAAGCATTAAAGTCTCCCTCGATCTCTCTCGTTTTTTTGTGTTCTTTTTTTTTTGTCGATGATGCTTTAATCGGCGTATGCAGTTCCTACCCTTTGTGCACTCACTGATTGGATAAGCCGCAGAAATATCTGCAATGAATATGCCGTTTAAATAATTGCGGTAAGGCTATGTATATGCATATCCATGTAAAAATGGAGCTGCTTCTGGTGCTGAAATATTGTTATAAATTATTGGATTGTGTTTTTAACCATACAATTTTCAATGAGTCCAATATGGACACAATAAACATACAAATATATAGAAACTAAGAGAGTTGTTTGCACTTTCAGACTCGATTTAGTATAAGTCTTTAAACTTTAATCACTAGTATAATGCTACTCGTATCTGAAACATCTTCAGGTTGTGGCAGTTTTTGAAGGAATCTAATTGTTATAGGTCTTGATTAATAGTCCCTCAAAGTTAGGAACCTTTTCTGCTCGATTTTTCACCCTCGTTTATACATTTTACAACCCTGACACCCTGTCCGCTAACATTTAACTTGTCAATCACTGTAAAAAGGTCTCCTTTACATGATCCCTTAATAAACCATATAAATTCCCATCTAAAACTCCCAAATACAGAACAGCCTACAAGTGCCTATAAAAAAATGTGAATCACTTATAAAGCAATTAATTTAAAGTTGTGCCATTCATCAGCTGTACGCAACCTTTGCCCCGCCACGCCCACGCACTCACACACGCCCGCCTCGTTGATTGAGAAGTGAGAGTTTTGACCAACACTCTCAAAAAGGGAGAGACACACACAGGACACAGATTACAAGTAATCGAAATGCAAATGCCGCATGGACAGGCGCACACTCACACGCCCCCAAAAGGACGAAGGACATTACGCGTGATTAGTCATGGCCATGGCTTTGAGGATAAGGATGGGAGGACTTTACGCCTCATTGAGGTCGCAGTGCTGGCTGGTAGCTCGTAAATTTACCGAATCATTAGGCAGACGCAGTCAGGCCATGCCTCACAAAAGGCGCTCCGAAATTCTATTGGACAAAAGCGCAGGACACGGGCCACGCAACAGCAGAGACAGAGGATTCTCCTGTTCGGAAGATGCGACACAGCGCTAATGAAGTTGACGCACATTCAACGCATTAGATGGCATTACAGCTGGTTATAATGTGCCCACAAATCGCCTCACGCATCCACCAATCAAACCAGAAACCTCCTAGGCCAGAAGCCTACTAAATAATTCAATAACTTCGCTGATTCCCCGTACTACTCACCGACGCTGGCGCAAGCAATCGAGCAGGGCATCCTCATCATCCGCATCGAAATGCTCGTCACCGCCGCCGCCACCGCCGCCGCCACCGCCACCGCTCAGTGGACAGTCGAGGGCATGGGCGATTTGCATTGTCAATTGCAAAGACTGATTGCTGGAGGCCCAGTCGGACATTGCAGAGCCCGACATGAGGATGGCGCGATGGAAAAGGCCTGCAAAATACTCGTCGTATGTTATTATGGATTATGGCCACTAATCACATTATTCGCGTACTCTTACCTGAGGCCACGGGCGACACCATTAGATAATTGACACATGCCGCACCCGTGCTGTGACCCATCAGTGTCACACGCGTATTGTCGCCATTGAATGAACCAATGTTCTCCTTGATCCAATGCAAGGCCGCTATCTGATCGAGTAGCGCATAGTTGGCTATATTATGGGCATCAATGCTAGGGCGCAGGAAACCTAGCGTAGGAGGTGAGAAGAAAACAAAGAATAAGATCCCATGGGGAATATCTTTTGTTCTAGTGCTTACCCAGTACACCCAATCGGTAGTTTACGGTGACGACAATTACCTCGCCGTAGCTGGAGAGTACAGATCCATCGTAGGCATTACCACTGTTCCACTCAAAGGATTCGCCGTGTAGGTAGACCAGTACTGCATATTGCTTGGGGGCAACCAAAGGTTCTGGAAAACAACATAAAAGGGTATTATTATCAAACAAAATTTTATTTTAAATACCCGCAGAAATCACGAAAATAAATTTAAAATCGATCAAAAATCAAAATATCCATTAAATATCTGTATAAATATCTCAAAAAATCAATACTTCCGATTAAAATATCTCTCGAGGGTTTAAATTTCCCTGTTTCTCATACAAAATTATAATCCAACCGATAAATTTCGTTATAGTAAAAAATTTATAAAAAATGTAAATATTTATTTATAGTTTTATCTTCGATGTTCAAAATAAGATTATATTGAAGAAATCTATAAAAATAAATCGATAGCTTCCTATAACTGTTAGATTTCGATATTTATGAATTCTCAATTCCTGTTACCCCACCTCTAAAGCCCCATCCCTATATATCTACTGTGAAATATTTTCTATTTTTCATTTGACAGACACTTACCCTCATGCGGCACATACAGATTCAGATACAGACAGTCCTCGCCCTCCGACCGCAGGTACGGCAACAGTCGACTCAAATACTTATGACGGGCCCGTGACATGTTAACGCTACCATGAGACGTCAGATCTGGTAGTTTTTGTGGGCAAACTGGGGGCAAATGACGCGCTATCTTTAGGCCCTGCCATGGCAATGGTGCACCTGAAAAATACACAGAGAGAGAGACAGTAAGAGAGAGTGCAAAAAAACACTTAGATAGGTCTTTATGGATGTCATATGTACGTATCCAACCAAGCAATGTTTGCATCGTAGATTTCAACATTCGATTGCTGCTTTTTCCCCCCACCAAGTGTTTGGCCAAAAAGTCAATTTCGTATTTATGTAACACGGTCAACAGGCACTTGAAAATGCCATAAACAAGCACCATACCACAACAGGACACACACACACACACACACACACACATATCCGTTTGCAAACACTCAAGCACACATATACGAACGCCACAGAATGCTCGGATTTCCTGCACACAAGTGCCAGGAGGTGGTAGAAGTAGAAGGAGGAGCAGGAGCAGGAGGAGGATGAGCATGAATAGGAAGGACACTCGGAGTTGACTGCGGTTACGTTGCTGGTGTTAACGTCAAAGCTGTGCTCGCAGATGCGGAGAATCGTTGGGTAAATTGCTAACCACGAATTGGTCAAGTTAGTACGGATTCTGCATTCAAAATCCTGAAGTGTGGCTTAAATAGCAGTAGCAGTGGGAGAGAAAGAGAGCGCCCGAAAACCATGGATAGATAGCAGCACTTTCTCTATGCTGTGTCAAATCGCTTACACATATTCACACCCACATTGTTTCGGTGCATCGAAGAGATTGTTTAGTGGTTTGTGGCCATAATATATCGATTGATTGATTGATATGCAAATGTTGGCATAGTTTTGTAATCTGCAAATAGAAAGCTTAGGCAAATCAAGTCTCCGGATATGCATTGTATCTGTGTATGTATTGGTTTATCTGTTGATTGCAAACTTCCAAACATAATTGATACAAAGTCCACGAATTTCAATTCCAATAAGCACAAAAATCAATGCCATTTCGTCGCACATAAACACGAGTATAGGCAACATTAACACTTTGACACGAAAGGGACACAGACAACATTTCATTTCATTTCGTTGCGTTATTGTCTGCCATAAACAACAACAACAAAAAAATGAACAGGAAAAATCCTCCACTCTCTGTGTGTGTGTGAGATTCATATGAAATTTTCGCCGGGAGTACACAGCATTATTTGCATTTTGTTATTAATAAAAGGAAGCCGCTGACTGGGACACAGAATTGGGAACCCCCAGCATGTAGAAATCGAAAAATATCGTATATTTTTTGGTATATTTGTTTTGGTTTTCGGTACGCGCTCACACAAAAAATCTATCACAGATATCCCTTCTACTCCTGCTGCTGTTTGTATATGAGTTTTGTCCCCCCTTTGACAAAAGGCTGCTTTCTCTCCGCCTCCCCCACTCTCTGCACACATTACGCATACGCAACGTGGGCGCGTATTTGCATTGGCTTCCTATATTTGCCAGGCGAATTTCAAGGCAGAACAAACGAGAAACGACAGCGCCATGTTTGCCATCCAACGACACAACAACCAAACGGCGAACTAACTTCCGCTGACAAATATGGCAGAGTCGTCGTTGTCGTTGTCGTCGGTGGGCGCTTAGGTCTGTCCGTTTGGATTGAGTGCACGGCACTCAAGTGCTCAATAAACTCCAAACGCGATGACACACTGAAAGGCTGCTGCTGTGGCAACTCGAAACTGTTGCAGCAGCAGTAGCAGCAACTGCAATCCGATATACAAATCGTGGCAGGCACACACACAACACAGCACAACACAACACTTTGCAACCAACAAACAGCCTCTGGCGCGTGTTAATTTATTGTCTTTACGTAATGCAATGTACGCGGCTCGAATGCTTAGTACTACACTGTGCATACACTGTAGGGGTAGACAAAGAGGAGCTACACTCTGTATACAATGTAGGGAACAAGAGAAGGATCCATGCTGCAGTGCGTAGGAGGAGTGACAGCACCCCCACTGCACTGTGAATACAAAAAAAAGAGGGAACAATCTATGGGTTCTACTTTCATTTCCGCTTCCATTTATATTTCCTCTAGAAATCTATAGATAAACTTTATCTGTATATTGTAAACTTAATAACCAACAAATCAACAAAAATTAAACCATTTTCTCTCAGTGTAAAAAGCAAGCTGTCGTGAGGATTTTCGTGGTACAAACAGCTAAGGCCGCGGTCTGTTTATGGCCCTCAAGAGAGCACAAAAGAACGCACACAACTTTGTCTACCGCAAACTTAGTGCCGCGCCAAAATTTCACACAAAATTTTTGGGGTATTGTGCTTTTTTTTTGGGTATAAGCACACAAATTAAAAACCCATTTAAACACACACAATAATAGCCATTTTCTCTCTTAATTAAACATAGGAAAATATAACGAAAATACATAGAAAATACATGGAAAATATTCATAAGCATAAGCCTCAAACTCAAGCTCATAATCTTCCCAGAATATGGCAAACAAATGTAGGGAGGGGCTTGAAAATGTACATTGCAATCCATGTAAAAACAAGCTGCAATAATAATAGCCAGTCGAGGAAAACACAAGCAGGAAAACACACGCACACACATCGAGACAGACAGAACACAGAACCGAGCGAAGTTCTGGGACATCCTGAGGTGTAGAGCTAGAGGGAGAGAGAGCCAGGCGCCACATGTCAGGCTTTTGAGAGCCTAAGGCTGGGGCTAGGGGCACGGCTCCAACGATAATTGCTTAAATTGCAGGCTAAATTCTAAGTGCCACAAGAAGCGGTAGATTCAGGAGGAGGAGCAGGACCAGAAGAAGCAGGCTGTTCATTCTTACACGGACATCCAACAGGAGAGAAATGTGTGGCCAGCATGTGTTCTGGCAATTTCAAGGAGTGCCTATACTGCTGCTCCTCCTGCTCGTCCCTTTGCTCCCCCTTTTTCCTGTTCAGCTCCACACTTTTCATTTTGGGGTTTTTGGGTGCTGCAAAGTGGCAATTTGCCATCATATTTGCGGTCTTCAAACAGTGCTGGCCACTCTACAGCGGGAAAATGCCAAAGTAAAAGCTAACAAGTCGGAAAATAAAGATTACTCTCTCTGCTAAGCCGCATTAAGCCTAAAAATCAATTGGTATTCATTACTGCATGAAAAAGGGTTATATATTTCCCTTCCAGCACTCACCTGGCGGCATAAATCGTCGATTGCCTGTCGGGGCCTCGGCATAGGGCAATCCCAGATACTGATCCACCTCCCTTAGGCCGCTTGTAACCTGAAAGCGACGTGTGATGCCCATGAGGCGACCCTGCTTGATTTGTATCTCTTTGGTATACTGCAGCTTATCGGGTACCACATGTCGCCGTCCAGGATGATGTGTGGTCACCGTCGTGGCTGTAGCTGTAGCTGTGGCCATGGCTGCTGTGGCCGTTGTGGCTGTTGAATCTGTGACCAATATTGAGGCTGTTCCGCTGTCACTCTCAACGTCAGAACCCTCGTTGGACTCTTCATCGCTGTTGAAGAGCCTTGCCACACTCTGCTTTAAGTGAAGTTCCAAATTTTGGATACCAGCTATGGCAGCGGCGTCCTTGGCACGTCGCACTGCCTGCTGGCCAATTGATTTGGATGCCGCCGCCAGTGTTGTGGCATCCTCTGCCGTTTGGTATGCGGTTGTTGCCCCTCTTGTTGACCCCATTGTTGCTGTTGCTGTTGTTGTGATGTCCCCAATAACCTGCGTTTGCCTTTCCGTTTGCTTTTGCTTTGAGGTTTCACGCAATTTCATTGCATTTTCCAGTTCATTTCCTTTGTCGTTGTTGTCGTTGTCTTGTGGGGCGATTGATTCTGCAGCTGCTGTTGCAGCTGCCACGCCCCATGTGGGGGCATGCCCATGCCCCTGGCAGCAATCAAGGCTTAATTGCTTGTGATGGCCCCTGCTACCGCCGTTGCCGTGGCTGCCAATTGTCAGCAGAAATAGCCAAAATGTTGCTAAACGAAACTTCATGTCTTTTTGCTTTTGGGAGTCTTTTGGGGTATATGAGATTTTCCTTCTGGTGCTGCTTTACTGCTATTTTCGGTCTTACACTTTTGCTTTATTTACTTCTATTCCAACTTTTCCGCACATTCCGTTTGTGTTTCGTTTTCGTTGTTTGTCTTTTGCGTGTTTTCCTCGTGATGTTAATTGTTCTTTTTGTTTTTTGTTTTTCTTAGTTTTGGACACAACCAAGCCGAATCGCTCACATTTTCCTTGGATTTTCCTTTGCCATATACGAGTAGTAGCAGCTTTCCCTCACAGTTTATTTACTTGAAATGTTTTAGCATTCGGATTTCTTTGTCCTCTCGCTTTCGCTTCTCCTAGCAACTTTCTCTTTTGTACATTTCATTTCATTTGGCTACAAAAAGTTTCCTCTTTCCTCCCTGCCACACGCAGCATTTCATTTCTGTGTCTCGTCTCTTTCCCACACGCTTTTCTGTGTCTTAAACTTTTGGGAAGAAAAACGAAAAAAACAGCAAGAAAATGTGGGTGAGAATAAAAACGGCAGAATAAATGGGAAAACAATTTCCTTTTTCACTTAATTTTTGTTTAAACTTTTTTTTGATTGTTTTATTGTGTGTTTGCTATTTAATACAAATTCATTTAGTTTATTCACTTTATTCTCTTTAATTCACTGCACTTATTTTGTATTGTTTCAAACGTTGTCTTTTTGTTAATCTTTTTTCAGCATTTTTTTGATAAATTGGAAGTCAACTTGTGGCCCATTATTGCTGGTGTGAATCACTCGCATTCTAGCACTACAAAATTAAGCCCCCCAAAAATATAAAATATTAAATGGTCTGTTCTGTTTCAGTTTTCATTTCTGATTAAGTCATCGTTCAGCCTGGAAAAAATGAAATCGTGTTCCTCATTGACAGCCACGCTTCGTACTCGTCGTAGTTCTTTCGGGGCAATCAATATGCTGTGTGCTGTTCATTTTTTTCGAGAATTTCAAATATTATTTTAAGACCTTGTTCGTATGAAATGGCGGCAGTCATTTATTTATAGAGAACCCAACATTACTTATGCGATTGGAGAGTGGACTCTGAGACTTTGTCAAATCGTTTCAAGTGAAGTGAAAAAGGAATGAAAACCGAATGAGGAAAAATGAAAGAAACTTCCGACACTTGTGAGGCAGAAATATTCGATGAGAAGTTGCCATTAAATGTGGATATTTTTGTATACAACAAGAAACACACACCCAAATACGTTAAACAAATGCCCGTCATTGAAGAGTACATCTGACATCTGCCAAATGAGTGCCAGTGTTGTTTTTCCACATTTTGCGTTAAGTAAACAAAAGAGCAAGCATCTCAGCAAATGGATGTGGAAAAGCCATAACCAATAGATTTCCCATGACGATTAATCATAAAAATACAGAAAATACCAATGAAAATTCAATTAAGTTTCGCTGTTTTCCTCGCACTCAAAATGTGAGCTAATTTCGCAATAAAAACTGAAACTGAATGCAAAAATTCTAGAAAACGTGTAACGTAAAGGAACGAAAGAATTTAAATGTTTTTTTACGAGCAGCCCCCTATTGAGGAGAGGTGCATAGGGCTCTGCCATGTGTGACAGAGTCTCTGTGTGTGAGTTTTCTTCGTGAATACTACGGGTACGGTTATACATATATGTGCTCATGTGTGCTCGTATCAAAATAAACACCACGCAACGCCCTGTGGCACACTAAAAGCATTTTTCACAATAACAACAAACGATAGACTAAATAGAACAAAAAGTAAATCTAAGAAATAATAACAAAAATATGATGGTAGAGCAAAAGTAGAGACGAAGATTTAATGCCCTATCTGGTATTGAAGTATCTTACAGATGTCTGAATGCCCTATAAGTTGTTTGAAACCATTTAATCCACTTAAAAGGTTTTCAATGGATGAAATAAATCTTAAATTCTACCAACGATTGAATAATTATTTGAGATTTTTCAGGATAGTAATAATATTATTAAGCTCCATTCCACACACCGTCCATTCACAAGAATATTTTCTTCAAAATTAAATTTATCTTCCTCGTATTTTATAGATTTTATATTTATTCTATATTATTTTCAAGACATACACGAAATAATCAAACATTACATAATTTGTTCACACCCTAAAATCTCCATCCCTCTAAAATTTTATTTACGTATTTTCCCCTCAACAGCGCATCCAAAGTATCTAAAATTCATGCTAAATCATATTTATATTCCTTCCTAAAACCCATATACCCTTCCCCAGCAGAAGCCACATAACAAATGTGTGCCAACATAGAAAATAAAAAATATTCTCTTAAATGATTTTGTTATTTATTACACTTTTTTCAACGCGTTCGTCTTTTTTTATGGCATCTGTGTGTGTGTGGGTGAATGTGTGGGTGTATCCGGAAATGTATATGTATGTGTGATGCAAACACAAACACCAACAAACATACACACATAAACGTCAAGGTACATCGACTGTGAACATACATAAAATTGACCTTATGGCCTTAGGGTGGAAAAAAAACGGTGGAAAATGGGTGTTGAAGTGGAGTTTATCCGAGCACTTAGACAGAAGCGTGAAAAGCGCTTTCTCTTGCATAAGAAAATCACATAAATATCCCAAAAACCAAAAGCTAATTGAGTCAACATCAATAAAATGGTGATAGAGGCACAGAGTGTTTCCTCTCTTGATATTGCGATATTGTGCGATTATTTATAGACCTCAAAGTAGAATCAATGCTATTTTCGGATCGATGTGTGTCGTAGGAACGAACACACGAGTATCCATCCATCCATCCATCCACTAAGTGAAAGTAAATTAAGACAGCAGCAGCCGTCCATTAAATGCAAATTCTTGAATAACTGAAAAGTGCACTAAAAATACGACTAATAAAAAATAAATACTGTCGGGACACAGCGGAATGGTGCGGAGTGGGGTGCGTCAATGCAAATTTAAACAAAATGAACAGCATTAAAAATACACACAGCGAAAATGTTTAAAAATAAAAACGAACGAGCAGAAATATTCACGGAATTCCACTATACACATTTATTGCGCTCTCTGTGGCGCTGCTTCATCCAAAAAATGTCGTCACCAGTGGATGTCGGCAGTGGATAAATAAATATAAAAGAAAATTCTATGAAAATAAAAGAAAATAAAAGACAACAAAAAATTTACAAGAAAAACTCTGCCATTTGGCGGCATTTGGCAGCTGTTGAAAGAGACTGAGAAAACGCAGTCCGAAAAGAAACAAGAGAGCGGCAAATAAGTTGGGGGGACAAGTAAAGAGAAAATGGAGGAAAATAAGTGGGAAAATTAGAGTGAAAAGAGTGGACAAGCGTAAAGGGAAACAGGGCGGAAAAAACTACAATTGGAATTTAAGTAAAGTGATTTGATTTTGGATTATTTTGTCTCCGCGCGAAAGTCACTTCTGCTTCTATCCGCCATTCCACGGCTCCGATCCGCCACTTGGCTTTTGGTCAAAACAATTCGGAAAATGCATTTTCCGACTCGTTTCAACTCTGATGAAGTCACCAGCACTACTACACACAATTTGTGGGTCAATGGAGGTACGCGATTCACTTAAATAAACTCTAAAAAATAAATAAAACAGAGAAAACTAAGATCAACTAAAGGTAAACAGAAATTGGAACTAAAAAAACTAAAGGTATCTTTAATCGTTAGCTTATTATTCGCTGTAGTTTCACAACACGAAAGGTGTCATAAATCATATGCTTTCATCGTAGCTACCCATTGAAATATCGTAAACCAAAGCCTTTTTAATGCAAATGAATGACAGAAAAGGGCCACAGAGAGGCCGCCCAAACAAAACAAAAACTCTCCTCTCGACTGTACATTGAACATTTGCATAATTAGCATACAAAGAGAGAAATATTCCCGAACTCGATGCGCATTGAAAGCTGTCACATTTGACACGCGGCTCTGCCACACGAAATGAAACGAAAAAGAGATCCCAACCAACCCATCGACAAACAACAAATTAGTTGCACCTAATTTTAGCTGCAAATGCAAAACAGAAAAAAAGATATACAAAAATGCAAAAACAGGCGACAAAAAGTTCAACAAACCCCAAAAGCGAAACAGAAACTCAAATTGCAAAAGATTGGGGCGAGAATTACGAGAGAATTATGAGATTTATTTTTGGGATTTTCACTCGGTCGATGAAAAACATAAACACACTTACAACTAGAGGAAAAGTGGAGAGATTTGGGTATGGAATATTGAAATACCCTTGAAACTCAGAGCTAGAAGATAATATAAAATTCCTTTACGAGATCAGATGCCATTAGATAGTAAGAATTTTGTTTAAGAATCTAAATAGTGAATGGTTTTTCTATACAAATTGACATTCTTGTATAAAATAGGTTTTTAAAAGAATATGAACAGTCTTGAAGCTTTGACACCCTTTAAAATACAATATCAACGAAAGGAAAGACACATACCGATATATCAATACCCCGACAAAACCACTATACCCTCTCCTCTTTAGAGGGTATTATATGCACAAACGTGGTGCACTTTGTTTTTTTGGGGCACAGTGGGCTTATGGGGCCAATGGGCATGGCACATACTCGCATTATCATGCAAATTAAGTGAAGCGTTTATTTATAAATCATCGAAAAAGAACAACAAAAATGCTAAATTGTTTGCACAATTGTTTATTTGGGTTCAACTTGGGTGAAAAATAAATGTAAATATATAGAAATTATGGTCAGATCAACTCAATAAAAGCACCATTTGATGGCTAATAAAAACAGCTAAGAACATACTCAAATTCTGGGATAATCTTCGATGCAAAATCTTGCAAAATAATATCTGAAATTTCTGTATTCTTTGTCCGATTTACTTAAGATATATTTTGACTTTTTCTATTCTTTATACCTTTCTATCTATCTTCTTTATGTATACTGTTTATCCGTAATATAAAATACAAATATCTCTGAAATATTTGCCTGCCATTTCCCCCTATATATTTACGATATTTACGAATTATTTACGAGCGTCACACAACAGCACTTTATTTTCCCGAATGGTTTTTGCTTCTTTTGTTTCGGGAAATGTTCTACATGATATTCAAATTCATTTGCACAAAAATCAACGAAAATTAATATTTAACGATTCTCCTGATTTATGAAAATACACACATACATATTTCCACAGAAATTTATTTTACACATTCTATGCAGCCAAGAGTGGAAAGAGTTTTCTTTTTTAATTAATGAAAATTGCATTGAAATTTCGGGAATTTTCTTGTAAACACATTTTGCACGGTTCATCATTATTTGGCCTGTAGATTTTTCATCAATATTTTCGCTGGCATTTACCAAATAAATTTCCACTTGATTTGCTTTATGGCCCACACGGATATTTTTGAATCTTTGATCTGCTACGAAATAACAAATTGGCAGATAGCTTTTGGCAGATACTTTTCGCAACGAAACACATTCGCAGATATTTTTCTTTGTCACTTGGCTTTATCGTTGATTGAAGAGCGTTTCACTCGACTTTTCATTAAGTTTGATTAACATTTCGTGAGACGTAAACATTTTCACTTTTCGATTTTTACTTGGGAGGGGAAACTTCTTGGCACGCTCTTTTGTTTTTGTCCCCCTTTTTTACGGGGTTTTATTTTTGGATCATGCACAAGATTTATTTGAGTTCGGAATAAGAGCACTTCAGTGCTGTCCCCCCAAAAAGAAAAACCGTAACGAAAGCGAAACGAGGGGCACGATCCAAGAGCGAACATGCCACACGATGCGACACGATCGACGTTCAAACTGCAACTGTTTCGCCCTCCATCTGACGGCAGGCACTTCTCTTTCTAGATTCTCCTAGCTGTTGTGTCTCTCTTCTCTAAGAAATTTGCTTCTCGTTTCTCTCTTGAGAGATTTATCATTTCTTGAGATAATTTTTGGTATAAACTGGCATAAATCGTGTCGGCTGGGTGCTCTTCTATTTATCTGTGGGGTAAATGTTGAGGAAATCATATAAATTTCAATGGAATTTCGCCTGCCTTACCATTAATTGCCTTCTTCTCATTTTGATGATATCTTTTTCCGTATCATCTCTCAGGCATTTCCTCAACTTTCTTCCCATAAAACTTCCGCTCTAAACTTCATCTTTGATCCTACGGCAAAGATTCCCTGTTCCGTTTCTCTCTTTTGTCTCTTATCGTCGACTTCCTGCCACAAATCTCGCACTTGGGTCTGAGTGGCTGCCTGCTGCCTGGCTGCAATTGTGGAGGCAGGAGGCAACGGCTAAAGTCTTAAATCAGCTTGGCTTTTGGCCAAGAGAAACCTAAACAAAAGAAAAAGAGGCGGAAAAAGCCAACTCCACTCGCTTTGCATGGCAGAGGGGAGACAAGTAGAGTGCCTCTTGCATCCACCAGAAAGAGAGTGGAGAAAGGTAAATCTCGTTCCTTGCACTCAAGAGAAAGGTAAAGTCCTACCGTTTTTGCATCTCTATTCTTCGTCTCCCAGTGGAAAACCCCTTAAGTGAGTTGTTTGACTTCTTCATTGTGTCTACTGCCACTTCATCGCCAATTTGGACGAGACTTTTGGGTGGGTTTCTACCCAAGCGTTTACAGCCAGACGACTTCAAGCTAACACACACACACGATGTTTTTTTATGGCCAATTTTTTCCCTTTTCACAGGCTCTCCTACTCCAACAAATGTCAGTGCATGTCAGAGAGCGGCATGCCAGTTCCACCTTTGGTTTTTTTTTTTTTGGCTCCTAAAAATAGCGGAAACCTTCATCCCAAAGGTGGGTCTTCCGGGTCTCCCTGATGTTGAGAAATTGATTTACCATCGATCTGACATTTTGCAGAGACTGCCATCGAGTGGCAAGTCCTAATTTACGAGCATCAAAGTGCGCCTATAAATTTTCCTTTTAATTGCAAGTTAATTAAAAAATCGAACTTCCAAGTGAAGAACGAAAAAAAAACGTCATGCATTTGGAACCAAAAATAAAACCCAAGACGACAACGAGGCTACACAACACATTTATAAATGAACTAAAACACATAAAAATATAAGCATCATAAAAAAATATATATAGAAATCATATAAAAATGCAGAGAAATGCGTAAGAAGTGAGGAAAATGCTTAAGTTAATTAAAGTTAAGTTAGTAAGTAAGTTAGTGAACGATTTAACGCTGCAACAGATATTATGTAGCAGCCACAGACAGCGGGAAGCGAAATCTTCGATATTTACTTACAATTGCACTGCAACTTCTGCCTTTTTTTGGTCTAAATTTGAACCAAAAATTGTGTTAGTCTATTTGTCTGCCTGTCAATTTATCAACAAATACATTATTCATCTCAAATGTTTCCCTTGCTTTTTTCTGTCTTTTCCCTGTGTTTTTCTTCGTCTTTTTTTTTTTGCTGCATGTTTTTACCCAATAATTACATTTAAATAAATTGAGTTTCTATTTATAATTCGAGTATTTCTTTGCTGACGCTTGAGGTGCCAAATAAATTGCATAAACAAATTTTTGGACGGGAGCAATTTTCCCTACAAACAAATTGAATACAAATTTTTGATAAGTGCCACAAAGTAATCGAACATACAATTTGAGATGCATGTGAATGGCAAAATGTACAAGGAAAATGGTGTAACTCTAATGGAAATATCATAAAGATACACAAAAAAGCTAATGGGAATAAGTATTCCCAAATTCTGATTGAAAATTTTTTTTTGCTTTTAAGTCAGAAATCCCTACATTTAAGAAATAAGTCGCAGTCAAAAATCTGTATCTTTTGTTCTCGTTTTCTTGCCCTTTACTAAATGTTCTCCCTTTTCTCTTACCCCTTTAGCCATATTACCACTTTCTCTTACTCCTTTGACCATATTACCGCCTTCTCTCAACCCTTTCTCATATTCTTGCCTTATATAAGCCCCATATTACTTATGTTCCCATGCGTAAGCTCATTTTAGAGCTCATAAAACGAACTCGCTCTTTAGCTTTGGACATTTTTATAACCCTTTTCGATTTCTTGCTTCACTAATTTGCTGCCAATTCAGAGACAGGACTCTCTCTTGTTCCCCCTTGGGTGTCCTGCAATCTAATTAACTTCGATTCCGCTTACTGCAGCAGCAGCGGCAGCTGAGGGACAGAGGACATTTTGCATAATTGCATTTCGTGGCGCATAATTCTTGCCACATGCCACGCCCACACAAATGAGAGAAAAAGCGAACGAAAGAAAAAAGCACAGATAACATAAAAATCAAGTTAAAACCGAAAGTTTTTTGCCTCTAAGCGAAAGGATAGCGAAAAGAAGAATAGAAACGAAAGCAAAAGAAAGAAAGAAAAAAAGAAGAGAATACGAATGTAATTGTGTTTTGCTTTGAAAGAAGAGGAGAGAATGGGATGGAGCCCCTCTGGTTGGATGCTTGCACCATGTGGCAGCAGTTAAGCGAAGGCCTTGAAGAGGAAAAAAAACAAAGTAAAAGACGGCTGGCGGTACCCCAAATGAAAAGCCAACTCTAATTAAGTCAGCAATGACCAAAAGACCAAAAGAAAAGCGTAACGGAAAAATGAGCACAGTGTTTTTTTTTTCTGGCCAGAAATTAAGGAAAACGTCCCGCAGATAGTAGGAAAAGCAGTCGCTGCTTTTGGATGATTTAATTCGAGTGCAAAATTATATTTTGGCTGCTAATTATATGCCTGAATCCGTAAGCCACTGGTCTGGTATAAAATGGAATTATGAATGCACTAAGACCCTCTTAAGATATCTAATAAAATGCAAGTATTTACCAGAAGAATAGCGCGGAGGTAGAGCCAGAGGAAAGCCAGTGCAAATCCAGAGAACAGAGCAATGCAAAAGCTAAGGAACCAGAGAAAAAGCCAGCCAGGAAAACCCACAGCAAAACCCAAGAGTATGAGCCAGTCTCCGAGTATTTGCCCAGTCAAGTGTTTAACTTGAGGCAGCGCCACGCAGAGTGAAGTGCAAATAAATTAGCCAAAAAATTGCTCAAGAAACTGCCCCAAGAAATGCACTCAACTTTTGGCTCTTGCCACGAAAAAAAAGTACACAAGAAGAATGCATAAAAAATATAAGAAAATAATGAAAAACTAGAAAATAAAAAAAGAGATGCACAAGACGAAACTAAGAATACACTTCCATAATGATGAAACTATCTTAAATTTGTATATCTTTGCATTTAACTGAATACTGCTGCAATTTTGATTAATTTTTCTAACAGATTTGGTTGTGGAGATCATCCTCATGTAGAACACACGTGGTATATATAAGAAGGCAACCGCAGCTTAAAAAAAAGGAAAGAGTGTATTAATTAATTGCTTGTTTTTTGAGTTGCGATATGTATTCATTCTATAGTATATAGTCTTATGCAGATAGATTTAAAATTAAGGCAGAAGCTTTCATTAAAATTAATAAATGAATATGGCTAATAAATCTACAGCACAAAAGCATCTTAAACCTATCTTTACTACCTTGCAAACCTCTACTTCTACCTCTCTACCTCTTCTACCCTCTCCCAAGGATACCCTTTGCAAAACTCAACTACTCAGAGCCCGCAGATCCGTGGAAATGCAAAATTTGAATTATTGCAAAACTACTTGTAATCGTAGTTTTTTGTCATTTCATTGGCCTCAAAACTTTTTACGCTAATCAGAGGAGACAGAAAGAAAATAGAGAGAAAGAGAAAGGGACAGAGGGTTACCAGCGGATATCCCAAAAACTACTTCAAGAATTCAATTGAGCAGAAAACACAGCAGCCGAAGCAGCAGAATCATCAGCCCCAAGCAATGCTCACTCGTTGGTCTTTTGGGCAGTAAATTTGGCGTAAAGTAGGCTATTGATTTTTGAGGCCGGAGAGAGAGAGAGCGAAACGAACGTTTAACTAAACTTCACTAAACCGTTAACAGATTTAGCCAGAGATTTGTGTGCGTGTTTGTTTGTGGCATCCAAAACGGAATGTGAAATGTGGTAGGTGGCCTGTGGATTCCTTATGCAAATGAAGATGAAGCTTTAATTCGTTGCGGAAATCCGCAGTGTGCGTCCTTCGTTTCGTAATCTGTTTTTCAGGGGGGAAAAAAAATTATACTCATTTACACTTCAGAGCTGCCCGCCCTTTGGATGCCCCAAAAGAGATGTCTAACCAAATAAAATCTGGCACCCAAAAGGACGCAACTAAACGTTGGACTAAATCAAAAAGAAAGTGAGAAAGAGAGTGAGCGAAAGAGAGAGAGTCAAAAGAGAACTTTGGAGTGGCATGAAAGAGCCGACTGCCGCCTCTTCAAGTGGAAGTTGGTACCGGACCCTAGAAACTTCGCTTTCGAGTGGACCAGAGGCTAAAAGCGTACTGCTAGATAGTTTTTGGGGCACACACACACAGAAAAAAAAAGAAGGAAATACCACACACTGGACGATAGTCGACTGTGGACTGGCCTGCCTGTCGTCCACTTGTATTAAAGGAAAAACGCTGCAGGCATTTTAAGTGTTGTTAATGCCCAAAGCGTCGGTGGCGGCCGCAAACTTTTTCCACTGCAAAAATGAAACAAGTTTTCTTTTCTCTCTATCTCTCTCTCTCTTTTGTTTGGCATCAGCAGTAACCTCGCCACGTACTCCAGTTACACTTTTTTGCATTTATAAAATAAAAGAAAAAGTCTCGAAAAAATAGTGTAAAAGAGTGGTCACGGGGTGAGCGTGGATTGTGGGTGGTTGGGAAAGTTGCATCAGTTTCCGCTTACGCGTGGCGGCTTACGTGTTTGTCATCTGTCGGGGGACTCTCCATCTATCCATTGCAG